GCGCGGATGGACTCGTTGTGCTCAGCTCGTCAAGGCGCATCGAATGATATATATATATATGATGACCTTAGGTCACGTGACCTAAGGTCAACTTTTGACCTTGACCTTTCGAGGTCAACATACATATGTTTCGATGCGGATCGACGAGAGGATCACGATGGTGCTATTAGTTTGCTCCTAGCTGGGATACATTGAAAGTTATTCGAGAAAAACTTCATATGGATGTAGTGCCGCTATTTTGACTTCCTTTTTGCTCCTGTGACGTCATCTTTGACCTGACCTGAAAATGACCTCAGTAAAAATTGTAGACCTCATCCGTGTGTACCCTGTACGGTTTATCGCTTGTCACTATCTTGCTTTGTTTTCGAGATCTCGCTGTCGCTCTCGCTCGTAATAATGGACAGGTCATAAAAATGACCTGACCTGAGGTCAACGCAGGGCGATAGCCACTTTTTTATTATCGCATATGAATGACAATTGATAGGACTTCAATCGCCATCAGACAAAATTGCAACTTTCAGTGGGGAAAATATCAAGGTCACTCTTTGAAAAATAGGTCAAAAGGTCACGTGATCAAAATTTACAAAAATTGAAAATCCGAGATAGCCAAAATGTTTGTTGGTTGATTGTGAGTTGAACCATTGAAAGTTTTTATCATAGAAAACCAATAGTTTCTGAGTTATAAGCCACTAAACATAGGCTTGCAGCGTGACCTCCAGGAATTGCCCGAGGCTATATCTCGGAAACCGTTGTTCGAAGAAAAAATCCTTGCCACAGCTGGCTTCCCCGCCCATCACAACCCCTTACACCAGTTTTCAATCAAGAATAAAATATGTGGGTGCAAATTTAACCCTCGCATGTGTAGGGGGGGGGGTCGGATGGACCCCCCCCCATGGTTTTTCGCGAATAACTCGCGTAAAAAGCGGCCGATCGCGACGAAACTTTCAGTACCCTCTCATTGATCAATTTGACACCTACCCTGAAAATTTCATGACCCTGACCCAAATGACCTTTGACCTGTGACCTCTTTTCCGAGACCATGTTTGGCCGGAATCGCGATTTCGCGTATGTCGGCTCGCACTAGCCGCGTGTTTGCAAGCTTTTCGTGGTTTCAAACGTTCAAACATGTGATTTGATGTTACTCCCGTGTGTGTCAAGGTCACCTGAAGGTCAGGTCAGGTCATTGACCTTTTGTGACCTCGGGTGACCTCGGGTCACTTTTTCGAGTTTTACATGTTTCTAGGCTAGTTTTTGGAGCTGAATTCGAATTTAGCAACCATTTGAACATTTACGAAGTAGTTTTGGTGACTTCGTAACATGTTACGAAGCTGTCAGAGGCGGTTGACACGTACTACGAATACCCGTCACGACGCCTACTGGTTGACCTGACCTGACCTGACCCGACCTGGTCTAAATGCTTCAAGACATCATCTGTGATCAAAACTAACACGATATTCGTGATCAGCACCCCGAAAAACCCCATAGCAGCCACACTTTACGACTTTCTAACAGGTCCCGATTTTCCCGACTTTGGGTCATTGACCTGACCTGGAAGGTCAACCAATGACCTAGGACCTTAACCCGCGCCCTGGTGGGGTCTGTTTATAACGCGACCTGGTGGGGGGGGGGGGCTATTTTTTGCCCCCCCCCCCCTCGTATCTCCGAAACTACTGGACGGATCCGAAAAATTCAAACGGCGTTCGAAAGGCCTGTCAAATTTGTCGATGGAAACCAAATTTTATTGACCTCGGGGTCACCGATGACGTCACAGGTCAGGTCAAAGATGAAATGTTTCACCGTTCACGGGTCTTCTAGGGAATGCGCTATAACACCGAGGAAAACGCATTTTGTCGGGAATCAGCGATAGGGCGTCAGTTGCCTAGTAGATATGTTGCTGTTAGAGGTCACTGGTCATACCAGGTCAGGTCACAGGTCAGGTCACCAAAGGTCACCAAGGGTCACCACATGAACCCAACTTTACTAAGGTTATGCGATGCGTGTTTTATGGTCAGTTTTTCATTTCCAACTCAATGGTGTTGGTTATAAGACCATCAGGTACGGTTTAGGTCACTTTCTGGTGGAGGTCAGGTCAAGGTCAGGTCAAAAAAGGTCAAATTTCAAAGTTGATATTTTTGCATAAAATGGGTATTGATTCGATGCAGCTCGTCACGGGGAGTCTAATGGTGGTCTTTGTTTTGCGCTACGAGGTCTAGAATTGCTGAAAATTGAGTTTGAAAATTTGACGTCATCAATTTTGAACAGTTTTTTCGCTATAACTTGGCCAAAAAAAGAGGTATCGATCTCAAATTTGGTATGTAGATAGAAGGCGGTAAGCACTATCACATATATTCCGTTTTTTTTCGAAATTCAAAAAACTTTTTGGATTTTTTGGCTATTATATTCAAAAAATCTATTTTTTGATTTTTGGGGGCCAAAATCCAAAAATTTCAAAAATCTGAGATAGAAGTTTTGTAGCCCTGTCCATTCTACAGCTTTTATGTCTGTATCATTTTTCTGTATTTGCAAAGCTATAGGCCTGACAGCTCTTCCCGCGAAACCCTGTTTTGGGTCGAAAACGGCAGAACATGACGTCACTCTGACGTCATTTCCGGCCAACCTATCATAGCCTTTGGAAAAATTTTTGGTCACAATGTGTAAAATTGATGTCCGGGAGGGTACTGAAAGTTTGGTGACGATCGGCGCAGTGGTTCTGGAGATATATCGAAAAGTCTGGAGGGGGGGCAAAAAATAGCCCCCCCCCCACCAGGTCGCGGGTTAAAATTGGGTATCATCGGCTTCCTCTCGTCACGGGCAACACGCTCGTTTTTTCCGCGAAGCTCTAGCTCGATCAGGGGCCAAACGGCAAGGGGGGGTCCAACCGACCCCCCCCTACACATTAGAAGCTGGCAAACGCCGCACACATGCGAGGGTTAATTTTTTATTTGTCGATTTGTCGTGGAACGCCCCAGTAACGATTAACCCGGCCGGGCCCGGGGGGTAATTCCAACCACCGCAGCCCGGGGAGGGGCGTTTTTCGCCCCCCCCCCCCCCTGCATAACTCCGTAAATAAGGGAGCTACGGAAACAAAAGCGATACCAAACGAAAGGTCCTTACGAGACGATTCTAAAGCACCTAAATTGTTTGACCTCAGGTCAATTTTCAAGGTCAGAGGTCAAGGTCAAAGACAAAAACCGGCACATGTGTAGTGATCTCAAAGTAAGCGTTCTAGAGGACCGCAGGATGCATAAAACCGGCAAAATCGGGTGTCAAAAGGAAGAAGAGAATCTGAGAATTCCGAAAATGTGCTCAAAATCAAAGGTCAAGGTCAAGGTCATGCTCAATATTGACCTCAAACTTAGCACTTTTTCGTACATCTTGCGTGCTAACTTCCAAGATGTTTTGAAATGTTTTGAGGCTTATCAGGTCCCTATTTGTGGTTCATCTTACGATACAAGGCTGCTCAAAGGTCAAGGTCACATAAGAGTATCCTTGCTAGAGGCTATTTCACTGATTCAAGTTAGTAATAATAAATAAGACAATTTTGCCATCCGGAGGCGCTAAATGAAGGATTAGAGGAAAATAGATGCCAGATTCGTGATCAGCGGGTACGAATCCATCATTAACGACCTTTCATGTGTCAAGGTCAACCAAAGGTCATTCGAGGTCACATGAGGTCAACATAAAACTTGACCTTTTACAAACAAAATATATATCATTCGAAGCGGCTTGACAAGGCGAATGCGATGGGACCACTGCCGTAGCTCTAGGACCATTTTTGTCGAAGTTATTTGCGAAAAACTAAAACCACATCTCTGGGTCGTTGACCTGACCTCTGACCTCAGGTCACCAAAATTATTTTTCTTTTTTTTTTCTAGGTCAAACGCTACACAACCGTGCTCGTAATTTGTCTTTATCTTGAAAACTCTATTTTTGGCAGCTATTTGAAGTTTGCGTCTGTGACGACGAAGTTTGCCGTACAGGGGTCTAGAAAAATCAACCCTGTGACGTCATTGAGGAGGCTAGGTCCAAATTTTTTTACTTCAGAAGATGTCAAATTGATGGGAGAAAAGGTACTGAAAGTTTCGCTTTCCTATCCCTAAGCGTTCGGGAGCTATCGCAAATATTCGCCAGGGGGGGGGGGGCGAAAAACGCCCCTCCCCGGGCCCGCGAGGGTTAACGGATTAACGGACTAAATTTTAACGATTAACGGAGCCGAAAAGTAACGGAACTAAAACGGTCCATTATACGTGGAAAAAATTAGCGAGTCCGTTAATCGTTAACCCAAAATTTAGATCCGTTAATTAACGGATTAGCGATCAAACGGACTTGCCGCCGCCCACAAGCCGTACTCCTTCTGAGTGCAACTGTAACTCATGGGTCGTGATTCGACGCATCATATGTTTCGCATTACGGAGCCCAGTAAGACCGTATAAAAGAGGCCAGGTGGTTTATTTTGGTGTGGTATTGTTCGCTCTCACCTCCTCGTGACATGTGTCAGTTCAAACAGAATGACTTCCATTAGTCTGATCGTTTTTGGAGGATTCAAAGCTAGGGTTTAAAAACGTGAGTGTGAAATCAGAAGATTTTGTTACCAGAATTTTGTGCTAAGGTGCATGCGCTCAGTTTCTGATGCGTCCATTTTCTTAATCTTATTCGCTGTTGGTCCACAGTGCATAGGCACCCTGCAAAGTGGGCATCTCCCATTCCCAGTGATTTGGCATGTGCTGAGTCCCTAAATAAACCATGAAAAACTGTTACACAAACAGATTATACTCATGCCCCTGATGCGTAATGCCAGCATATGCAAAGTACAGTAGGTCTATACAAGTCGCTGCCACCAGTGGGCAGGTAGCGCGTGACGGCTGCTGAGGCGCCACGCAACCTCCACGTTACCAGGCAGGTGGCACCTGAGCAGCCCTTGGGCGCTACCCGCTCACTAGGGGCGGTGACTTATTTTGTAGACCTACCTGTGCACATACACACTTGAATAAAAAACACACGACCATGTTCAGTTTATTGCTGAAATTGATTTCGATGGGCATTGGTCTTTTTTTTCTGACCAGGCACACAAAACAAAAATGCATATAATATTAGCCGTTGAACAAAAACAGCTGCACAAAGCTAAATACGAGTTTTGCCAACACGAAAACAAATTAGTAAGAGTGCAGCCCAACGAAAGTTTGCATCTGTTGCCTACAGCTCCGGGTGTTTAGAGCGTATTTGTGGGTCTGATCTTCATTGTGGTGGCGTTCAGACTGTACTGATCTCTCCAGTGAGCCCACCGGACCGACCTTTTTGTGTCTGTTGACCCCGGAATGTACAGTCCGTTGAGGTTGGAGTATTGACAGTTTTTATACCACCATGCTCCATTGTTGTAAGATGAACAGCCACCCGAGGTAGCGTCGTTGTCTCTGTCAAACGTGGAGAACTTCATTCCATTGTGGTAGCTTAGACTGTCTCCAGCGTCCCCGGCGTACGAGGAATTAACAAAGTCCAGTCGGTAGCCGTCGGCCTCGGACGCGATGGTGAACTTCTGGTAGGTGGCGTACCTCGTCTGCTCGTCCCAATCCCAGAGGTCGACCCGTAACTCGTAAATGCGGTTCTGGGAGGTCAGCTGCCAGAGGTAGTGAAGTCCCCACCAGAACTCTCCTTCTAAACTTCCCAGGCCCCATTTGTAGGCCTCCCAGTCCTGGAAGAAGTCTTGCCTGGGTGTGATGTCGGCTCTTCTTTGGAAGACGGTCCATCCCTCGCCATCGTCCATGTCACAGTAGGCTGGGGTCGGAGTTTGGAGATCCACCATTATCATGTAGACACCGCTTGTTGTGCCCCGAGGCAGATCACTGCAGTCGCGCGCAATGGAATCCTGCTGTGACGTACCGTTGGTTTCAGAGGTCAGCCCAGAGGTCATATCAGCGGCTGACCCAGCGGCACACACCAGGAGCAAGAGAACACAGACCGCCACTGGTGGACGTAACGGTAGCCCCATGGTGACGCAGAAGAACGTCCTCAGTGGTCTGAGTGGAACAGTCGTCTCTGCTAAAGGTGTGCTCGGTCCCACTGTCACAGGTCGGTCCGGTCCGTTTTGTACCGCCTCACAGGTGTCTGGCTCACACACACTACCGTCATACCGTGTACGACAGCAACATTTGCAGCATTATCTGTCAGCAATGAAGTGCGCAGAAGAGCAGAACTGGGAAATGGAACAGATGTGAGGCCCTAGCAGTGCCGAGGACGCAAAAAAAAAAATGGTGGGAGTAAAGAGCTAGTTTTCTTGTTGCAGCGGGAGTGGTTTGAGATATCGTCATCGGCTGAGGCGGAAACCTGGGTTATTTATCTCGTCTGCCTATCAGGATAGGACCGGTAACTCAACACTCCTACAAAGACCATATTGTACTGAATGGCTTTGTTTTTTTTCGTCCAGTCATTGAGCCATCGACATTACTTTTGCGCTTTTGATTGAAGAAACCCGTCTACATCTGAAAACCATATAAAAAAGGTTTTCGGTTCAGAAGTAAGATTGGGATGCATGAAGAGAAACAGCAGAATGTTCCGTAGCTGCCTGTGCCAGACAGAAAGTGATAAAATACGCATTGTGAGTGTTTATACTTGTTTGACAAACTGAAGGCATATAATTATTTTCAATTGTAGAATATCCAAGACAGTTAGGATAAATGATAACAATAACACCTCAAATGTATATTTAAACACACAAAGCTTTCGAATATACATTTGACGTGTTATTGTTATCATTATTTTCAATATTTATTTGGAAAGCATATTTGTAAGACGTCCGGACGGGGTGAATACCCATATTACCTAGCATGTAGATAGATAGGTAGTGGCTGCCGGCTGCGGAAAATTCAAGACGATTGCAGGTGCTAAAATCGCCTCCACAATCTCGTTTGGATTTGAAAATAAGGCCATATAATGAATGAACAAACTTATTTCTATTGGTTTGAGTGTGGTTTTATTCATGGAAAATACATGCTTTCAAACATGACCACTATGCGTATAAGCGTCGTTCTAAGAAGTCAAGGGCATTATATGAAGAATTGTTTACATTTTAAAATATCATAAATTAAGATATTGCATAGTAACATCTTCCCAGCGACCTATCCCTTTCACAACACCCGCTATTCACGGCACTAAAAAGTGCCGTGAATGGGACGGCCATCGACAGCGCAATCAGCTGATATGTAATGCCGACAATACCATCCATACGCACTTCAATAAAAAAAACACACACACACACACACACACGAACACTTTCAGTTTATTGCTGAAACCGATTTCGATGAAACAATACCTTGTTTGCAGAACCAATACACAAAACCCAAATTAACCCTCGCCCGTATAGGGGGGGGGGGGTTGAACGGACCCCCCCTCGATTTTTCGCGAATAACTCGCGTAAAAAGCGGCCGATCGTGACGAAACTCTCAGTACCCTCGAGTTGATCAATTTTACACCTACCCTGAAAATTTCATGACCCTGACCCAAATGACCTTTAACCTGTGACCTACTTTTCGAGACCATGTTTAGCCGGAATCGCGATTCGGCGTATGTCGGCTCGCATTAACGGCGCGTTTGCAGTCTTTTCGTGGTTTCAAGCATTCAAACATCTGAAATGATGTTGGTCCCATGCATAGGGTGGGTGTCAAGGTCACCTGAAGGTCAGGTCAGGTCATTGACCTTTGATGACCTCGGTTCACTTTTTCGAGTTTTACATGTTGCTAGGCCAGTTTTTGGAGCTGAATTCGAATCTAACAACCATATGAACGTTTACGAAGTAGTTTTGGTGCCTTCGTAACATGTTACGAAGCTGTCAGAGGCGGTTGACACCTACTACGAATACCCGGCAGGACCCTTACTGGTTGACCTGACCTGACCTGACCCGACCTGGCCTAAATGCATGAAGACATCATCTTTGATCAAAACTAACATAATATTCGTGATCAGCACCCCGAAAAACCCCATAGCAGCCACACTTTACGACATTCTAACTGTAATGTGCGTGTTTCGTTCATTGCTTCTCGTTAATTGCTCATCGTTGTTTGTCTCCGCTAACCGTCGCTTCGATTTTAATGGGTTTAGGATTAATTAGTTTGTAGTTTGATTTTACCTGCGTGGTGGCCCTATTTCAATTAGACATTTTCAACGTTCATTACTTCACTGTATATCTGCCGTGCGGGGCCGACTTTGCCGACTTCGCCGAACTCCGGCCGAGACCCTGCGCTGCCGTGCCGCCGCGCCGCCGCCCAGCCGTGGCGCCGCGCCGCCGCCCAAAGCCGGTTCGTCACGGTGCCACGTATGTCCATCTTCGGAGGATTTAGCGGCGCGCGCTATTCAACTATCTCGACTCTGCCCTTTACTTAACAAAGCTTTAGATCTACCGTTTACATGGGTACCTGTCCAATGTCCATCATAGTTTAGTCACACTTAGCCAGTACCGGGTGAGCCTCGGGCAGTGCATCTCCCTCCTCCGTCGTGGTAGGGACCAATCGCAACTGTGTAACCATATATGAAACGCTCCCCGGGCCAATAGTAAGCTGACACGTACAGTATGTCTAAAAAGTATGTCCCCTGGTTTGGCTCTCCCACAGGAGGCGAATCGGTAACTTGGCTGAATCCCAGTTGCGGCACCCGGCCGCGAGTTACCTAAGTGTGGAACTACAAGTCGATTCTAGGGCTCTGATTGGTGACTTTGGTCGGGGGATGACGCTTATAGCATGACGTCACTCGCGTACTTGGCCGGACCAACGGCGCGGCGCAGGCGCGCCGAGCCAACCCAGAGGCTCTCAAACTCAATTGTACAGATCCTGCGCATTGAATGGCGAAACTTCGGCGAGTTCGCTTGAGTTTGGAAGCCCCTGCCAGAGAACTGGAGACGGCCGGATTATTTGCTGGACAGTGGGCAGCGCAGATGGCGATTGACGGTGCCAAAAAGATGATAGGGAAAAGGGGTTGAGACTTGAGCAGTGAATTATAAGCCTATTGCATAGCTGAGTGGTAAATTGTAAAATACTTAAGGTTTGAAGAGATGCAGTGTAGTTTAGCCGACTCAGGGGCATTCTGCCGAGTTATGTAAGGCGGAAGGGTCGCAACTCGCAAGTCGTTTGTTTACATGATTGCCTGATTAAAATGTAAAGCGTACCTAATGTTTAGTTGATAATACAGCGAGGTTGGGCATCTGCTCAATCCATTTCTTCTCTGCAATAGTGCATTCGCCACTGTAAATCATTGTAAGAGGCACTGGGCTGCGCCGCCTGTTAATTATTCCGAAACCACCAGTGAATTGTCACAGTCACTCACAACAATACGAATCGTTCAGTCGTGCGCTGGGGGTCCGCCAAGTTTGAGTGTGCTGCAGAATGCAGACTGGACCGCCGAGAATATAACACTTCCGTCTCCCTGGGCGAGCGGCGCATTGGAGCCGAAGGAAACTGCTTCAGTTTTTTTTTGTGGGGAAGATACCCATGTTTGAAAATTATGTTCTGGAATAATGCGATAAGGAAAAGGACGGTTTCTTGAATTGAGGGCTGTGGAGAAGAAGCAGATTTTCTCATTTGCTACCCGATACAACGCGAAAAGACGCAAATGTTGCACATTGGGCTTAATAAGTCTAATAAAAGATAAGGGACTTCGTGAATCATGCCTAACTGACCGCGACCCAGTTATTTGCCACTGCAGGTAGGTACTAGGTAGGTAGATACTCATTTGTAAACAGAGCGTTCCACTAACCTTCGCCAGAAATTCAATCAGCAGTTGCTTATCTTAAAACGTTTGAGTGCACCTAACAACCTTTAGGCCCGGGCAGCGCTTGTCGAACAGCTCTGCGGATCCGAAGGTTGGGACTTTAATTGTGAAAAACCGCCCGCCCGCCGCCAAACGCAAACACCGCAAAACGCACGCCCAAAACGCAAACGCAAACTTCGCAAAAAAAACAATCGCCCCCCGCCGAAAACCGCAGAAAAAAACGCACAAAATGCCGCAAAAAAACGCGCGTCCGTCGCAAAACGCAAACACCGCAAAAAAACGCAAACACCTCCGCCGCAAAAAAAACGCCCGCATCGCCCGCCACCAACCGCGAAACGCCGCAAAAAAACCGGCCGCACGCCGCGAACCGCAAAACGCCGCAAAAACGGCCGCCCGCCGCAAACCGCTAAACGCCGCAAAAAACGACCGCCCGCCGCCCGCCGCTAATCGCAAATAGCGGCCGGCCGCCGGCAACCGCAAAACGCCGTAAAAAACGGCCGCCCGCCGCAAACCACAAAACGCCGCAAAAAACGGCCGCCCGCCGCAAACCGCAAAACGCCGCAAAAAACGGCCGCCCGCCGCAAACCGCCGCTAAAACGGCCGCCCGCCGCCAAACGCAAACAGCAAAAACACCCGCATCGCCCGCCCGCCCGCCGCCAAACAAAAAAAAACGCAAACAACGCCGCAAAAAACGCCCGCAACGCACGCACGCCCGCCGCCAACCGTAAAACGCCGCAAAAAAACGGCCGCCCGCCGTCAAACGCAAACACCGAAAAAAACGCAAACACCGCCGCAAAAAACGCCCGCCGTAGGCAAAACACAAACACTGACAAATTAAGACAAATATGGCGCCCTGCGGCAAATGTGGTGCATTCATATCTGCCGTTTAAGCAGCCATCCCTTAATTACAGCGCATCCTAATCGTCCAATGTTCGACAAAGTTGCGCACATTTTGCGCTTTGCGGCAAAAATGGCGCTTTGAGACAAACGTGGCGCACTGCAACAAACATGGCGCATTCGTTCATGTCGCTTTACAGTTCATCCACCCACCAAATTCTAGCCCAATCGGACTTAAACTGAAAAAGTTATGTACATTTGAATATTTCACTATAAAATATCTCCGCAACGGAGGTGCCCAAATTTGCACGTGTGCCACGTGACCACCGGTGTTGCAAGCAGGACTTGTCCCCTCACTGATTGCACCATTTCAGTGTTCCTGGCTTGTGCTGTTTTCGTGCTATAAGGCCACAAATCGGCAAACACACGATAATCTGGGAGGTACGCGACTCAAACACGTGGCCACGTGGCACGTGCCGGACCTTTGATAGCTTCACAGATCACGCCACGTGATGACCCATCGACGTGGCCATCAGCATGTAAAAGATGACCCCGGCCGGTGTCACCGTCCCTGAACAGTGGACGGCTAAACTCGAAAAAGGGGAAAATTGAGGGAAATTTCACCTTTCGAATATATAATTTCCCCAGAATTATAATTTTTTCATTTTACAAAAAAATCTGAGATAGCAGTTTTTTAGCCCCCTTCATTATGTGCCTATACCCGTTTTCAGATCGACCCTATCATAAAAACTGACGGCCTGACGGCTATTTCCCCCATTCCTTGCATTTCACATTGTTGGTGTATTTAAGCACAAAAATTAACCCCGTGCCACGGCACGTGCAATAGCACGTGCGCCACGTGACCACTGGTGCGACCAGCTGGACTCATCTGCTCACCGGCTGCGCTGATTTGGTTTCACTAGGTGCAGTCGTTTCTGAGCCATAGGACCCCCATTTGGCCAATGTCGGATTTTCCCCGAGGTTACCCCATCAAACACGTTTGCACGTGGCACGTGCTTTTCAATCGCCCCATATCTGACCCATACCATGTGGTAGCCGACACCCCGGGGCACAACATATTGGAACATTTTCAAAATCTAACGTGGAATTTTTTGGCAAAATCGATTCGAAAATAATTTTTCGAAAATGCCATAGGCTCAACATGGGGTAACTGTCCGTCAAGATTACCCGAAATTGTACCCTATGATTTTTAAATAATTAACATCAAAAGGTGAGGTGCCAGGCCGAGATCCGATCCTAAAAATATCAGCAAATATAATTGACGAAATTTTTCGCAAATCGAATTTCCAATTTTCCCCCATGTTAACCCTATGGGAAAATGCACGTGCCGATTACCCCAAAACGGGTTAATTATATTTCAAGCGACCGATGCCAGCCGGTAGCTCCCCGATACGGGACCAAACGCTGAAAATGGCAAGAAATTCTACCGTGCCGTTTCGGCGGCGATCAAAATGTCCCAATTTCCGGCAGAAACGCAAATGTCCCCCTAGAGAGGTAGCTCAGGTTGGGATTTTCAATAGAAAATCACAATTCTAAAGAATAGTGATTGTCTAATTGAAAAGTCCCAACCTTCGGATAAAAATGACGTCCTCCCTTTCAATGGTTCGTTCGAAGACACAAAGCCAGAATCAGCCAAGCAATATCGGAATCCATTGCGCAGTGTGTCGACTGTCGGATGTGCCCATCCACATAGCATAGCACACACTGCTAAATGCAGGTACGCTCACCTACACATTAGGTATTCGAAGGACTTGATAGCTCATACACATGGAAGAAACGCATGAAATGTGATTAATAGCTGCAGCAGAAGTTTGGCGTCTGATGCCTCTTCGCCAAGTTAAGACCATGCCAATCTCGGCCAGTCTGCCGCCGCGCCGGCACTGGCCGTGGTGTGACGTCATCCGGCCGGCTCGGCGCTGGGTAGTTCCACACTTAGGTAACTCGCCACCCGGCCGCCAGGGTCGCTGCCGCGCGAGCGGCCTTGACCGCTCGCATGTCATTGGCAGTTCGGTCCCTCCCCATCTATACCGAGGTGGGGAGGGGAGAAGAGGGGAAGAGAGGGGAGGGAGCGGCATCCGCTCGGCACTGGGCGATACCTGGCTGACCCCGCGCTCCCTCGCTGACCTCCGTCCTGCCCTCAGGCGAAGACCGACTTCCTCGGCCCGTAGCGGCCGAGCGGAAAACCGAGCTCGCAGGGCGCGACTCCATTGGCCCAATCTTATAAATGGAATGCTGTCGTATTCACGGCATTTGATAATATTAATAGTGATACCAGCAGTGGATGTCGTAAAATACAGTCCAAAACAAACGAAAGCACACGATTGACGCATAATGCGCCCTCCCATTCAAATAAGCCCGCCCACTTCAATAGATGGTGTAGTTTCTTAGGGCGTAAAAGATGCAAAACACTACCAAACTTTTTTTAGCTCGGCCACTGTGACGTCAATATACAATTGACTGAAATGCATGAAAACCGTTTTGCATTTAATAGCTGTTTTCTGCACCCAAACTTTAGCCAGTGACGCCCTGTCCATTCTAAAGCGTTTATAAGATTGGTCCCAGCACCCGATTTTATATGAGGAAGTCGTTTAAAAAGCATCGTATCTCTAACCAATTTATTTATTATGGCCACTTTTACAGGACGTCTATAGAGCTTTGACTTTTACATTTCTTCCTCGTTCAGGAGCAACGTTTTAACCTTCACCAGACCTTCAGGTTTTCTGAATACCGAAGGGGCGTTGGGGGGTTGGAAGTGAGGGAACAACCCCCTTTGCCGATTCGCCCCTTAAAGGAAATAGTTCACATTTTAACATGGGTTTTTAACTGGAATAGCAGTTCCGTAGCTTGGGCTGAGACGAGCATAAATCAGGAGCTTTTACAGCCCAACGATCACCCTAGGCAAAGATATTCTATTTCTCGTCCCGAAAAAGGTGCCTTGCGTTGAGGTTGTGTGCCTTGCATATATTTGCATCCAGTATGAAACGAGCATGGGTCCCGAAAATTCTTCAGAAACGCTCCAGTAACAAAAGAAAATTATTCAGAAAATTCTTCAGAGGCGCTCCAGTAACAAAAGCATGAGCAGATCGCCCAAATGCCGGTGGCCGCGATAATTTCTCTAGCTTCTGAAGAATTTTCGGGACCCATGCTCTTTTCATACTGGATCGCGTGTGCCTTACAGAAACTGAAAAGTTCTTCCTATATCAAAAATAAAGAAAATAATATTTTGTTATGAAAAGGTTTTATTTTCTTTGCTGATCATTTTGAACATAAAAAATCATAAATCCATTGCAAAAAATATAATTTCGTGAAAGTGAACTATTTCCTTTAATGAGCTAGAGCCTCACGAAAGAAACGATCGTGCGCGTCGTTACGAAATGCAGCGATTGGTCTCCGATTTTAAGGACTAGGATCAGCCGATGACTTCTGAGGTTAGGTCAAGTGGCCCAAGGCACAGGTTCGGTTTTTGGTAAATAACTTCGTTAAACATGATCGCAGATCCGCGATTTTAGCAGCATCGTGTTTGTCTAGCTCAGGCGTGTCGAATGGTATACTTTTTCTTCGGGTGAGATCAAGTTAAGGTGTTAACCTCGGGTCAAGGTCAGGTCACAGCCCGTCAGGTCACGAAGCTGGTCAAAGCATAGAGATCTTATATACAATTTGATTTAGGATAGTTTAATTCAAGTCGGTATGAATCCGACTTGACAATTACTATAGTCTGTTTTTTTAGCAGCTGCCGGTCGTTTAAAGCGCCTGTCTGATAAGTGCGCGAGGAGCGAAAGCAAAAATGCTATGGAAATCCTGCAAATCCTGAAACTTTGCACATCCGTAACTTTTCTTCGACATGAACTAAAAAGAAGGAAAAGATGTCTTTTTCGAAGCTAAAATGTTCCCCAATCGATCGCCAGACCAAGAAGGTGATTTTCAATGTTTTTGAATTTTGTTCAAAAGAGAAAAGTAACATGGCCTTAACAGGAGAACCATGCGGTTCATATTGTTTGGTTCACCCAAATAAAGTGTATGAGAGAGTGAATCTGATGACTGGTGTTTCCGAGCGGACAGTTCGCAGCATCATGAAAGAAAAGGAAGTCGGCGAGTTCAAGTCTCCTATGAAGTCAGCCCCACGGACGGGAGTCGTTCAGAAAATCGACGATTTCGACGTGTGTGCCATAAAACGAGCCATACACAGCATGTACGAAAAGGGTGAGCGAGTTACCCTAAACTCGATCCTGATGAAGGTGACAAGTGAGCTGGACTTAACCTTCAGTCGCAGCTCCCTGCGCAAGATCCTCCTCCAGAACGGCTTCCGCTACAGGAAGGTAAACAACAGGAAGCTGCTGATGGAGCGTGTTATCCCCGCCACCAGAGCCACACACGCTCGTCTCTCGGCATGAACTGTATTCTCCCGACCCGGGGTCGGCCGACACACACCTCCAGGCAATCACGTGATTAGGGCGGAGCATCGACGGCACAGCCGCCGCGGCCCGCTCCCGCGCGCCGGTCCCCGTACCGTATTCGGCCGTCTACAACATCCCTCCCACCCGAATCAAAACATCCCGTTTTGACAACAGGCGGTTTACGCGGCCGTAGGTTGTAGCGCGACTGTGCCGAAGCATCGTCGTCCCCAGCCGCCGCGCCCGCCGGCGCCTCGCCGTCCCCAGCTGCGGTGCCCGTCGTCCCAGGCACGTCAGTCGCCGGGTCAGCAGCAGGCTCCACAGACGCAGCATCCATCGGTGCGCCGGAGCCAGCCGGCGTCGGCCCGACCTCCAGCGCGGCCCCGCCGGCAGCGACTCGGGCCGCCGACGCCGCCGACGGTGTCACCAGCGGTACAGCGGCAGCGGTGGGGTCCACCGTCACGGCTTCACCTGCGTCCAGCCCGTCTGCGCCGCCGTCCCGCCGCGTCCCGCCGGCCTGATCGGCGACCACCTGGTCCAGGTGGCGCTGTATCACCCGGCCGTCAGTCAGTCGCACCGTCAGCTTGGAGCCACTCCGACCGATGCAGCTCCCACGCAGCCACCGGGTGGAACGGTCGACGCCCGCCAGGCCCGCCACCTGCGAGACAAGAACATGCATTCCGGGCAGAACAATGCGCTCACACGCCTTCTCATCATATCTCTGCTTCATTCTGTGCTGCACTTCCACCATCCTTTCCTGCAAGTTGGGTAGGACGCAGTCAAGGCGAGTTCGGAGCTGACGACCCACCATCAGCTCCGCTGGCGTGTGTCTTGTGACGCTGTGGGGTGTAGTTCGGTAAGCGAATAAAAAGCGGACTACTTTTGACTGAAGACTGCCACCATGCTGTTTCCGTACCCCTTGTTTGACAGTTTGAACCGCTCGTTCAGCTAGCCCGTTGCTCTTGGGGGATAGTGGAGCAGTTAGCAGGTGTTTGATTCCATTTTTTGCACAAAAAGATTGAAACGTTGGTGACGTGAAGCACGCTGCGTTATCCGTGACAATCACTTTTGGCAGCCCCCAGTTCGAAAACGACTTACGAAGCTCCTCTATGGTAACTTCTGCAGTAGATCGAGTGGTTACGTGCACATCCAGCCATTTCGTACACGCATCTGCAATTACCAGCATCATCTGCCCCTGTACTGGCCCGCAGTAATCCACATGGATCCGTTCCCAGGGACGGCTGGGCCAGCTCCAAGGACTGAGGGGCGCGACTGGTGCCTGCCTGCGGTACGTCTGACATGTGGTACATTCACTGACCATCCGACAGATATCCACATCGATATTGGGCCACCACACGTACATTCTGGCAAAACTCTTTGTGTGACTTTCACCCAGATGCCCTTCATGCAACATTTGAAGTACACGGCTCCGCAGTTTGGCTGGCACCACTACCCGTGAGCCCCAGAGCAGGCAGCCCTCGTGGGTACTGAGCTCACCTTCTCTGCGTCGAAACTGTACCAGTTCCGGGTTCAAGAGTCCGCTGGTCGGCCATCCGTCTCGGGTGTACTGCAGGACGACGCTCAGCACCGGGTCCCGGGCGGTGAAGGTCCGAATGCAGCTCGCCGTCACTGGAGTCGAGTCCACGAACTCCATAAGATGCACCGTCTCAGCAGGCGTCGGCAGCTCGCAGGCATCTGATGGCAGAGGCAGCCGGCTCAGGCCATCACAATGGCCCTGTTTTGTCCCTGGAACATATTCCAACTTGTATTTGTATCCAGACAACAGAAGCGCCCAGCGGGTCACCCGGGGAGACGCCATGGGTGAGATTGGCTTATCTTCCCCCAACATTCCCAGCAGGGGCTTATGATCGGTCCGGATGCTGAACTGCCTGCCGGCCAAGTAATAGTGGAAGCGCCGGACTCCTGCTATGACCGCTAAGCCCTCGCGGTCCGTCTGTGAGTATCTCTGCTCAGTTTTTGACAAAGATCGGGAGTAAAATGCGACCGGACGCTCCCCCAGATGCCGATCGACAATGCTCAAGACGCATCCCAAGCCCCACGGGCTAGCATCACATGCCAAAATCACTGGCGCGGACTCATCGAAATGCGCCAGCGTGATGGGAGATTTTAACAAGTCTTTCCCAGCCTGAAATGCTTTCTGCTCTTCCGGGCCCCACTGCCATTTTTCCTCTTTCTTGAGCAATTTGTACAAGGGCGCAAGAATAGTAGCCAGATCCTTCAAAAACTTGGAGTAATAGTTAATCAGGCCAAGCCAGGCCTGCAACTCTTTGACGTTTTTAGGGGCGGGTGCATCCTCTACCGCACTGACCTTTTCCGCCGTTGGCTTTATCCCTTCTGACCCGATGTGATGTCCCAAATAGATCACCGACTTCATCCCGAACCGGCACTTGCGTCGCTGTAGCCTCAGGTTGGCCTCTGACAGGCGCCGGAGAACCTCCTCCAGCGCTGCGTTGTGTTCCTGTGGGTTCTTGCCAGAAACAACCACATCGTCAAGGAACACTCCCACTCCTGCTATCCCAGTCAACAGGGTGTCCATGTACCGCTGGAACACTGCGGGGGCTGACGCGTACCCATATCCCAGACGGGTCGGGACAAGTATCCCCTTGTGCGTGTTTATTGCCAAGTACTGACGACTTTTTGCACACAATGGCAGTTGATTGTACGCACTTTTAAGGTCAAGCTGACTGAAAACTGTAGCTCCCTGGAACTTTGTGAACAGTTCCTCAGCCTTAGGCAGCGGATATTGCTCCACCGGTGTAACCCGGTTTACGGTTAATCTGTAATCACCACAGATTCTGAGCTCACCTGAAGCCTTCGGCACTGCCACGATGGGAGCCGCCCAGCTGTTCCACTTCACAGGTACCAGAAGTCCAGCCTTCAGCTGCCGCTCCAACTCAGCATCCACCTGAGCCTTGTACGCCAGCGGCACCGTCCTGGGCTTGTAGAAGATCGGTGATGCAGACTCGTCCACTGGGATGCTGACCTCAGCATCTCGAGCACACCCCAAGTCGTCCTGGAAAAGCTCCGGAAACTTGTCCACCACCGCCTCGACATCAGTTTTACTGGACACCGTACAAATGCTCTGCCAATTTAGCCGAATCTGATGCAGCCAATTTCTTCCAAACAGCAATGGCCCCCTTCCTTCCAGGATCACCAGAGGTAGTTGGTACGTTGATCCTTGATAACCCACATCAAGTATCACCTCACCTCTTACCACCAGCTTTTCTCCAGAAAAAGTGCGCAGGAGAATGTCTGTGGGCCGTAACAACCGGTCACCAGTCGGCCAGAGTTCTTTGAACCTACCGTAGGAGCAGACAGACACCGACGCTCCAGTGTCCAGTTCCATCTGGACCTGCTTCCCATTCAGCGTCACGTCCAGCAGGATCGGAGGTCGACCTCTGCTCAGTCCAGCTGAGAAGGTGAACAGGTCTCCCACCACAGTGTCCTCCGGCCCGGGCTCACCATCTTCAACAGTCACCTCGTCAGATTGGTGAGGCACATCTCCGAGACTGTTCACGGTTCCTGCTCTATGAGCGGCACTTGTATGACCATATTTGGAACAACGAAAACAACGCTTGCGTTTGAAAAAACACTCAGACTCTGAATGTTTGCTACTCAAGCAGCGCCAGCACTTATTAGCCTCAGAATCAGAAAACTTGGGCTTACTTGAGTTTTCACGGCTCCCCCGTCCGTGTGGCGGCCGCGACTCCGATGTGTGGATGCGTTGCACCGCTGGCTCGGTCGGTGGCTGTCCAACCCGAGGTCCTCCTGCCAGCTCCTGCTGGTTCCGGCTGGCTGTCTCCAGCGCCACGGCCATTTCAGTCGCCTTCTGTAACGATAATTCAGGCTCCGACAGCAGACGGCTCTGAATCAAATCCGAATTGATTCCGCACACTAGCCGATCACGAATCATTTCTTCCAAAAACGAGCCAAACTGACAATCCCGTGACAGCTGTTTCAGTCGGGCTATATAGTCTTGCACCGGTTCATTTATACTACGGGAGCACGAGAAAAATCTGAACCGCGCCACAGTGACCGACGGTCGCGGATGGAAGTGCTCTCTCAATACATTCACGATGTGGTCATATGAAACCTCATCGGGTCTCACCGGGGACAAAAGTGAACGCAAGACGCCATAGGTTCGGGCTCCCACGTTGCTCAACAAAATAGCCCTTTTCTTTACATCCTCCTCTATCTCGTTTGCAACAAAAAATTGGACCAACCGTTCGATGTACTCCTCCCAGTTGTCTTCTGCTGCTTCAAAAACTTCCAACCGGCCGAGTGGCATCTTGCGGATCTCATCCTCGTCGCCAATGTTATCCCCGCCACCAGAGCCACACACGCTCGTCTCTCGGCATGAACTGTATTCTCCCGGCCGGCCGACCCGGGGTCGGCCGACACACACCTCCAGGCAATCACGTGATTAGGGCGGAGCATCGACGGCACAGCCGCCGCGGCCCGCTCCCGCGCGCCGGTCCCCCGTACCGTATTCGGCCGTCTACAACAGAGCGCCCGTACGTGCGGGCTGCAAGAGCCCGCTACCTCAGAGAAATGCGCAGGATCCGCAATACTGAGCCCGACCGAGCAGTCATCTATCTCGATGAAACGTGGTTCAGTCAGTTTGATTTTGATCAAAAAGGCTGGCTGGATGATCGCGAGTTTTGTGGCAGAAGAAGTGTTGTTGGCAAAGGCAAGCGTCTGATCATTGTCCATGCTGGATCCAGAGATGGATTTGTCGGTGATGCCTTGCTTACCACCTGGACCGACGGCAAGAGCACCGACTACCACGACTCGATGAATGCGCAACATTTCGAGGAATGGTTCTCCAGCCTACTCCAGAACATCCCGGCTAACAGCGTTATCGTCATGGACAACGCCAGCTACCACAGCCGGATTAAAAACAAGACCCCGACGACCAGTAACAAGAAAGGGGAGATCCAGGCATGGCTGGAAGAAAATGGCATTTCATATGCCGACGACATGCTCAAAGTGGAGCTTCTGGAGCTGGTTCACAAGCACGCTCCCCCAAAAACGTACTATGTGGATGAACTGGCAAAAGAAAAAGGACACACAGTGGTCAGGCTGGCACCCTACAGTTGCGACCTGAACCCGATCGAAATGATATGGGCTCAACTGAAAACGTATGTGAGACAACGCAACAGAAGCGGAAGCATGGGAGCCATCAAGCTGCTTGTGGAAGAGGCGGTGGCCCACATCCCACCCTCGGCATGGGCTAAGTGCTGCGATCACGTGGAAGTGCTCGAAGAGCGCTACTGGCAGCACGAGAACGTGGCCGAAGAGGTGGAGCGCGTCGTCGTTACCCTGGGAAGCAGTGATAGTGAAGACGAAGACACAGAAGACGAGTAGAAGACGAGAGGAGCTGTGCTGGGCTGACTCGCTATACGGTGATGACTGATGATGATCGCATGATTATGATTTGCGATTATGCACGAGGCAGGCGTGAACAGCTGGATGCAGACTGCACTGGGATGACCTTCAGAATATATGGTTTACTTTTTGCTCTTTCGTTTGACCTTTGATTTGACAAAATTTGACCTTTGATGACCTCTGGTGACCTGACCTTTGACCTGACCTAAAAATGACTGATGTGTTTTCTTCATTATTTCTTTTGCTCTTTCGAATAACGCTTACTGCGAGTCGCTACTTGGCCCAGGAGCTGATTTAGACGGGGGTGGGTTCAGACACCCCCGGCCCGGCGCGGAAGTCGCCGAGTACCGGCCCGGCGCTGTTTAAAATACAAACGACGCCCGGACATTTGAGCACTTTTGCATTTCATATAGGTATGATGCAATCTACATATAAAGAACAGTGATAAGGCGGTATACACAAGCTGGTTTCATTCCTAAATTATTCACTTTCTCAATCTCCTGCCTCCTGCTATCGCTGGCACCATGGCACGACTTTTGTACCATCTTCGCTGACACAAAGAGGCCACCTGGCCAGGGAACGTTGCCCTCCTCTCAACCCCTCTCTCCTCTTTTTATATAGTGTACAAACTGATAGCGCAAGAACGGTGATGACAATTCTCAAGAAGGGTTGTGAGGCGTAAAAGACAAATCCGCAGCTTATTCCACCAGCCTAAGTGAAAGTCAGCACAATTCTGAATGCTGGAGCCTGAGTGTGCAGAACATGGCAAGTTCAGTACGACAGCTGGATCGACACGGATCGATACTGGATTGATACGCTCCATTCGAGCCGCCATAAAAGGAGCCGATAGAAAGTGTCTCGTATTTCTGTTTTCGCAGTCTCAAAAGCACGCGCAGTTGCAATTTAGGCACTTAAAACGACCGGCAGCTGCTAAAAAAACAGACTATAGGTGGGTTTTGCAGCGCTATTAATTCGGCATGTAATTATAAATCATTGCTAATTTCGATCCGGATATCGTTATTCAATGCTGGCCTTTGCGTCCTCAGAAAAGTTGATAGTCATGAAGGCTTGCATTGACCCATACTTTCCATTTTTCAGCACCATTATTCGCCGTAGTTGACCAGGTATTTTTCTTCCGCTCTCCCCCTAATCATTTGGCTTAGACCCATGGCGTATCACCCGTGCATCGCAAGGCGCACCTACCACACACAAGTTCACGATCCCCACGAACCCACATCAGCGTCCGTTCGCTTGGTGTGTGACCCCTTGACCTTTGGCCGCGACAACTGCCAGCTTGCCGGAGCACCCCTCCCTGCACGCGCTGCCCCGCCCGCTCCCCTCCCTCCCCCCCCCCCCCCCCCCACCACGGGGTCGTGTCACGAAGGTTCGGGCTTACGCTACTACCGGCCGCTGCGCAGCTGTCACCTAGCGCTTGGGAATGTGTGGTCTGGTGCGGATTCGGCCAACTACCGGCTCGCGACACCAGCGCCACGTAGTGGCGACGGTACATTCTTTTTAGACATACTGTACACGGAGAAAAATAATTACTCCCCCCGGGAATCACGATCCCCTATTTGGGAATCAACTGACACCGATGGTGTAATCCGATTCTGAAAAACAGTGTCCATACACCGTTTTTTGAGTGTAAATTGATCTCGGTCAGAATCACATACCCAAGGGTCATTTGACTCCCAAAATTTTGACTCCCATTTTAGGTGTCGTGTCAAAAGATGCTGCACGGTGTCAGCGTAAAATAACACATCTAAGCGTTTTTGACGCTATCATGAGGAGTTTTTATATCCTATAGGTGTCATTTCACACAGTTGAGCGTTTTCGCAAACCGTGACTCCTTTATTAGGTGTAATTTGATCCTCAGTGGTGTCATAATATTCCGTTCAAATGACTTATTGAGTGTAATTTGACCCTCGGTAGTTTCAAAATATTCCGGTGTCATTTGAGCCCCATTGGGTTCAAATGACACCGGAATATTATGGCACCACTGAGGGTCAAATTAACCTAATAAGCGAGTCACGGATTACGAAAACGCTCAACTGAGTGAAATGACACCCATAGGGTTCAAAAACTCCACATGATAGTATCAAAAAACACTAAATTATTACAGAAATTGTTTTGACGTCACTGGTGGTATACCACCATCTCTTGACTCTGCCAACACTGCAGAGTCAAGAGATTTTCGGTGAATGAGACTCCGAATCCAGCTCCGGCTTCCAATATCGACTCCGACTCCGACTACGGCCAGAACTGTCGTTTCCAACCGACTCCGACTACGGCCAGAATTGTCGACTCTAACGGACTCCGACTCTGACTCCGTAACCCTGGTGTAGGTTCAGTGATTTGAATCAATGCCCCGAGTGACGTCATGTGTGAGCTAGCCATGGCTGGTCCGCTACGAAGATGAAATAGGCAATAGCCCAATTAGCAGGCTGCACTGTCAATTTAGGGACGAAGATTTGCGGAAAAAACGCGAGACGAAGAAATGCGGAGACGAAGAAATGTGCGGACGAAGAAATGCGAGACGAAAAAATACGGAGACGAAGAAATGCGAGACGAAGACATGCAAGACAAAGACATGCAAGACGAAGACATGCGAGACGAAGAAATGCGAGACGAAGAAATGCGAGACGAAGAAATGCGAGACGAAGAAATGCGAGACGAAGAAATGCGAAACGAAGAAATGCGAGACGAAGAAATGCGAGACAAAGAAATGCGCGGACGAAGAAATGCGGAGACGAAGAAATGCTCGGACGAAGAAATGCGAGACGAAGAAATGCGAGACGAAGAAATGCGAGACGAAGAAATGCAAGACGAAGAAAGGCGGAGACGAAGAAATGCGCGGACGAAGAAATGAGCGGACGAAGTTTTGCGGACGAAGAATTGCGCGACGAAGAAATGCCATGCAAAGATTTGTCCGGATACGCTGCGGTATCAATTGATTTTCGGTGACCCAGACTCCGACTCCAGCTCCGGCTTCCAAAGTCGCCGTCGACTCCGACTCTGACTCCGGCCACAACTGTCAATTCCACCCGACTCTGACTCTGACTCTGTAACCCTGGTGCGAACCACAGCTCAGGTCCAGTGGTTTGAGTCAATGCCCGGCCAATCAGCAAGCTGCATTGTCGTGTGACGTCATTTGTGTTCTAGCCATGCCGGTCCGCCACGAAGATGAAATAAGCTCGACCTTGCAGGAAAACCGTTAGGAAAGCCGTTGACTTCAGTTACCGGAAGTGTGCCCACGTGGGTGCGTGTGGTGTGAGCGGGGAGAGGAACTTATTTGAATTAACGCGCTTTTAATGTCGCCAAACGTTGTTTTAAGTGTAGATTTACTTCAAGTAATAGTGCTTTAACGATAAACTTCAGATATTATTTGTAGTTTGCTCAACATGCGTATTTAAACAACAAGGCGCCCTGCACTCGGCGAAATTTTGAAGTAGGACAAGATAGCAACGCACCATGGAGACGGAGGTAAGTTTTTATGTCATTAAGCTGCAGAATAACTCTACCTAAGTAAGTAGCAATAATCACCGGTTGATGGAACATTGTTGAAATGTGAGTAATTCCTTACGGTGAATGGAGTCACGGACCCATGAGCCTTAACGATAAGTTTTCATTAGACTTCGCCATACCTATATTTCGTGCCCAAATGTTTTGGAATTTATTGTTGCATATAAAATAAAGAATGACATGCCCTATGGTTAATTTGCGTCACGTGGTTAACAACTGCAATTATGACTCTGCTGGAGAGTGTATTTTGATCCCATAAGGTGTATGATTCCGAGAATCATTTGACAATATCTGGTATAAGGACTGATTGAGAAGAAGACGTCATCGTCAATAGATAAAATTGTAGCTGCAAGGGTGAAGACACATGTAAGCTACATTAAAAGTCTCGTTGCAGTCTGGCTAATCGTTCCTATAAGCTTCAGAAGCAGAACATACCCATGGGTATGTTGGTTAGTTGTACCATACTATTGGTCTCAAGATAAGGGCCCAGGCGACCTGTTTTTCTGATGCGATGAATATACCCTTTATACCCTCGCCGCAGCTCGGTTCGAGTGCATCCCTCACCCCTGCACACAACCCAGTCCCCGAACTCGAATATTACCGGTATTTCTTATATAGGAGACCAATAGTACTGGTATGATATTAGCTGATGTATGACGCTAACAGGAACAGGCTCTGAGCCGGTATAGAAAAGCCATCCCTAGAGTCATTTGACACCGTTGAGGTGACACCTACGAGGGATGTTTTTTGAAGCGTACCAAAAACGCGCAGTTTCCAGGAGTCCGATTACACCCGGAATCAGACACCCCCGAGGTAATCTGACTCTGGTTGGGAGTGTATTTTATACCACATGTCGTCAAATGATTCCCGGAATCATACACCGTGTGGGATCAAAATACACCCTCAAAATCCGATTACTCCCTGAAGTGACACCTAAAAGGGGTGTTTTTTGAAGCGTACCAAAAACGCGCAGTTTCCAGGAGTCCGATTACACCCGGAATCAGACACCCCCGAGGTAATCTGACTCTGGTTGGGAGTGTATTTTATACCACATGTCGTCAAATGATTCCCGGAATCATACACCGTGTGGGATCAAAATACACCCTCAAAATCCGATTACTCCCTGAAGTGACACCTAAAAGGGGTGTTTTTTGAAGCGTACCAAAAACGCGCAGTTTCCAGGAGTCAGATTACACCCGGAATCAGACACTTCCTAGAGTATTATGACTCTGATTTGGGGTGTATTTTTATTCCATAAGGCGTATGATTCCGGGAATCATTTGACGCCGTACGGTATAAAAATACACCCTCAACCAGTGTCATAATACCCTAGAAAGTGTCTGATTCCGGGTGTAATCGGACTCCAGAAAACTGCGCGTTTTTGGTACGCTTCAAAAAACACCCCTTTTAGGTGTCATTATTTTTTTCAGTGTAGGCTAGAGGGCTACGCCCTAAGAGTAGGATAGCTCTGCTGAAGTCACCCGATCGGGGGGACTAGCAGAAGACCCCCGGCAGCCACTGAGGCCGGACGTGTACCTGCATCGGTCTCGACCGACACTGTAGCCGACCATCTCGCTCTGTGTTGTGCTCGTGAGACAATACACCTGGACCGGCAGATCATCTCTTCTGCCAAGGGCTGACAACAACACGACGCGCCCCGCCCTGGGCACGAGAAGCCGCCGTGTTACATAACAGGTCCCGATTTTCCCGACTTTTGGGTCATTGACCTGACCTGGAAGGTCAACCAATGACCTAGGACCTTAAAATTGGGTATTTTCGGCTTCCTCTCGTCACGGGCAACACGCTCGTTTTTTCCGCGAAGATCGCTCGATCAGGGGCGAAACGGCAAGCCCTCCCCCTTATACGTTCGCGGCTGGAAAAACACCACTACGGGCGAGGGTTAATATTCAGCAGTTAAACAAAAACAGCTTCCCAAAGCTAAATATGACTTTTTCCAAATCGAAAACAAACTAGTAAAGGCCGCCGTCCACTGGAGTACGCGCTGAATTTAACATTGAAGTCTATGGGCTGCGCGCCGAATGCTGTTCAGCGCCGCAGTGGCGCAGCCAGGATTTCATTTCGGGGGGGTCATCGCCTCCAAAGCGGGCCCCCTGGTGTGCGGGCCCCCCACCCATTTTTCAGAATCTCTCCATATTTCATACACATTCTGCTGAGCGGGCCCCCTTTACCTGCGCGATAACCCTGAGCGAGTTTGAATCAGAACATTTGGATAGAACAATAGCTCGGTAATCACTCGGTGTTCAATTTTTACGCAAATTGACCACGACAGAAATATGTTACTATGACGTAAGAATTCGTATCTTTCGAGGCCGAAATGTGCCCCTTCCGCAATATGCATAGCATATATGCAATCGGAACTGTTGCCTGCTTCTGTCGGACAATATTCAACTAGTCCCATGTGCCTGTTCTAAGTCATCTATTGGCTGCTGTAGTAGATTGTGCCTTTATTCTTCTTCATTACGTGAATTCGCTCACAAGAACTTTTAACCCTCGCGGCACAGGGGGAAGGGTTTGATGCAACCCCCCTTAAGTTTTTTTTCGCAAATAACTCGCGTAAAAAGCGACTGATCGCGACGTAACTTTCAGTGCCCTCGCGTTGATCAATTTTACACCTACCCTAGAAATTTCATGACCCTGACCCAAATGACCTCAAGGTCAACTCAAGGTCAAATTCCGACCTAAGGGTCGGAAAGTAGGCCAAAGTTGGCCTACTTTCCGAGACCATGTTTGGCCAGAATCGTGGTTCGGCGTATGCCGGCTCGCATTAGCGGCGCGTTTGCAGTCCTTTCGTGGTTTCAAGCGTTCAAACATGTGATTTGATATGTTGCTCCCATGCATAAGGGTGGATGTCAATGTCACCTGAAGCCTGAAGGTCAGGTCAGGTCATTGACCTAGGAGGACCTCAGTACACTACGGCCTTTTCAAGCTATGCATGTTTCTAGGCTAGTTTTTGTTTAGCTGAATTCGAATTTAGCAACTATTTGAAAATTTAAGTAGTTTTGGTGCCTTCGTAGCATGTGACGAAGCTGTCAGAGGCGGTTGACACGTATGTTCTACGAATACCCGTCACGATCCCTACTGGTTGACCTGACCTGAACTGACCTGACCCGACCTAGCCTAAATGCATAAAGACATCATCTGTGATCAAAACTAACATAATGTTCGTGATCAGCACCCCAAAAAGCCCTATAGCAGCCACAATTTACGACGTTCTAACAGGTCCCGATTTTCCCGACTTTTGGGTCATTGACCTGACCTGGAAGGTCAACCAATGACCTAACCTAGGACCTTTAAATTGGGGATCATCGGCTTCCTCTCGTCACGGGCAACACGCTCGTGTTTTCCGCGAAGCTCTACATCTCGATCATGGGCCATACGCGAGGGGGGTCGTAATTCTGCCGTCGAAGGACGCAAAATGGTCTGTGCCGGCGAGGGTTAACGCGCTCACATGAGACATGTATTGCCTTGGGCCGGGTTTGTTGTGGTGTGATGATGTGGTGACGTAGATTATGTATGTTACCGTGGTCCCGGCATGGTGTTACTTAGCGCGGGGTAGGTATAGGCTAGAGTGACCGTTGCACCCAGTGCGCTGAAGTTTGCGCAACCGATGGAACAAGGATGGGCAACGTGCCTGTGAGGGGTCTCAGCTCAATCGGGCCGGTGGTGAGGACATGGCGCGTGCTCAAAAAGTGTACATTTGCGTCATAGACTTTACATGTATAAATCGGCTTGCAAAATTGGGCGAAAATAGCTAAATTTGCCCGACACGGGTCCGGTACCCGTGCGGTATCTCGGTAACCGTGGGTCCGATCAGCACGGGGAGCACAGTATCGTAAATGATAATCGAACGGGCTATCGAATGGTGTGCGGTGCAGGAATGGCACGTGCCACGTGCACCTGATAACGCACTTATGCTTGAAAAATTGACTTTTGGACGGATTTTGGACTTAATGCTATTTTCGGGTGACTGTCAGACGGAGCGGGTTCGAACAATGCCTGTTGTCAAGAGAAACGTACCGCCTCTCATGGAAAAATTGTGAAAAGCTAATTGATCAAAAACAAGGTGGAACAAATCGCTGAAGAAAATGACATTTTTTCATGACTTACCTACTTAATTACACGGGTTTTGCTGCATAAACTGGTACGTTTGACAATTGAAAATGGCATAGTTGAAAAGAGCATTCAATTTTGTCCAATATCCATTCATCGCTTTTGCATGAAGAGCAACAATATTCTTAAAAATATAAACGTTTCAAACCTGTACATAGTAATTCATTGATGGCCTCAATTTTTCAATAGGTAGCCTACGTCAACCTATGTTATAAAATATACTTCGCATGTTCTATATTAGAACGCATGGTTATCAGACACGAGCACCTCGATGCGATGGATATTTTTTCCCAAACCAAAATACTTACCCGTCAAAAGGCAATCGACCGAAATGGATACATAACCCATGGACACAAGACCAACCAAACGCCCACCGATCGAAAATACCCATTATTCGCGTTGCAGAGCAAGCGGGTCACCCTAGGGGGCCCCATTCATCTGAGGGTCCGGGCCCTATCCACATGGGGGCCGAGCCCTATCCACACGGGGGCCCGGGCCACGTCCACCTGGTCTCCGGGCCCCATCCACCCGGGGCTCCGGGGCCCGAGCCCCATCCACCCGGGGGCCCGGGCCCCATCCACCCGGGGGTCTGGGCCCCGTCCACCAGGGGGCCCAGCCCCATCCACCCAGGGGGCCAGGGCCCGTTCTCCCAAGGGTCCGGGCCCCATCCATCCGGGGATCCGGGCCCCAGCCACCCAGGGGGCCCGGGCCCGTTCTCCTGGGGGCCCGGACCCGTTCTCCCGGGGGCCCGGGCCCATCCATTGGGGGTCCCGGGCCCCATCCACCGGGGGTCCCGGGCCCCATCCACCAGGGGCCCCGGACCCGTTCTCCCGGGGGCCCGGGCCCCATCCACCCGGGGCCCGGGCCCGTTCTCCTGGGGGCCCGGGTCCGTTCTCATCCGGGGGCCCGGACCCGTTCTCCCGGGGGTTCGGGCCCCGTCCACGGGGGCCCGGGTCCCATCCACCCAGGGGGCCCGGGCCCGTTCTCCCGGGGGCCCGGGCCCCATCCACCTGGAGCCCCAGGCCGACCCCTCACCCGTGGTGTCCCAGTAGGCATTTCTCGAAGCGGGCTCGTCCAATTAGATTAGGACCTCTCTCTCCTCTCTCTCTCTCTCTCTCTCTCTCTCTCTCTCTCTCTCTCTCTCTCTCTCTCTCTCTCTCTCTCTCTCTTTCTTTCTTTCTCTCTCGAGCGGGCCCCCGACAGAAATTTCGGGGGGGTCAGCTGACCCTCTGACCCCCCCCTGGCTGCGCCACTGCAGCGCCGAATGCGTGTGAATCGCAGTCAGCTGATTATTCGGCGGCTGTTGGGCGCCGAATCACGCGCTGACAACTTAAGACTGCTTTACGCCTCCTAATGACTTGAAATACTTCTTTTTTTCAGCGCGCTGTAGGCACTTGGGATTACGCGCAAAATGCGCGCATAAACAGTGGACGGCGGCCTTAAGAGTGCAGCTAAATGAAGGTTTGCATTTGATACCTGTAGATCCGCATGCTTAGGGCGTAGTTGTGGGTCTGATCTTCATAGTGGTGGCGCTCAGACATTCGTATCCCTTCCATTCATCCCAATAGACGGTTGTGACGTCTGACACTCCGGGTTTGTACCGTCCGTTGAGGTTGGAGTTGGCGCAGCCGAAATACCACCAGGCACCCTCCCGGTCAGATGAACAGCTACCCGACCAAATGTCATTGTCTCTGTCAATAGTGGAGAACTTCATTCCTCTGTGGTAGTGGAGACTGTCCCCGGCGGTCCCGAAGTAGTCGCCAAAGTCAATTCTGTAGCCGCCATCCTCGGATTCGATGGTGAACTTCTGGTAGGTGGCGTACCTCGTCTGTCCTTCAAAATCCCAGAGGTCGATCCTTAATTCGTACACTCTGTCTAGTTGGGAGGTCAGCTGCCAGAGGTGATGAAGTCCCCACCAGAACTCTCCATCGAAACTTCCCAGGCCCCACTTGTAGGCCTCCCAGTCCTTGTAGAAGTCCTGTCTGGGTGAAATATCAGCTCTTCTTTGGAAGACGGTCCATCCCTCGCCATCGTCCATGTCACAGTAGGCCGAGGTCGGAGTGAGACGATCAGGGTAAATTGTGTACACTCCACTAGCAAAGTAGTAGGGCAGATCACTGCAGTCACGTACAGTAGAATCTTGCTGTGACGTACCGTTGGTGTCAGAGATCAGCCCAGAGGCTGACCCAGAGCTGTACATTACCAGCCAGAGTGAGCAGACCATCACTCGGAGCAGCGCCGCCAGCTCCATGGTGATGCTGGCGAATGTCCTTGGTGGTCTAAGAAGAGGACTCGTCTCCACTGAAGGTGTATGTTCAATCCGGCCCGTTTTATACCACCTAACAGGTGTCTGGTTCACATACACTACCGTCATACCGAGCACGATAGCAGCTGTTGCAACATTATCTGTCGGCAATGAAGTGCGCAGAAGAGCAGAACTGGGAAATGGAACAGATGTGAAGCTTCGGCGGTGCCGATGAACCCAAAATTCGTGGAAGGAAGGCGCTAGTTATCTTGTTGCAGCGGGAGTGGCTTGCGAAGTTGGCATCTGTAATGTCGTACTTTTGATATCCTCAATGACGCTGTGACTGTAGACAGATGTTGATGTATGGTGACAATTTATAAAAAATATCTGTCTCTGTCTCTGTTTCTGTTCTCTCTCTCTCTCTCTCTCTCTCTCTCTCTCTCTCTCTCTCTCTCTCTCTCTCTCTCTCTCTCTCTCTCTCTCTCTCTCTCTCTCTGTGTCTCTCCCTCTTTCTCTCCCTCTTTCTTTTTTCTCTTTCTCTTTCCAACTCTCTCCCCACTCTCTCTCTCTCTCTCTCTCTCTCTTCCTCGCTCACTTATCGTCCATCTCTTTCTCTTGCTCACACTACTATCCATCCAGCGGAGTTGGTAAGAGATGTTTACTATGGTCGGTTGCTAGGTCATTTCCTTGCGATTGGTGGCGGCTCGGCTGTGGTCATGTATAACGCGACACAGACCCATGTAAGTAGGTACGAGTAGAATAACTGAGGATGAATTTGGACTGGCCCGCCGCTCCTGTCGCTCCGTGGGGGGGGGGGGGATAGACGGGATGGGGGCTACTGGTCGTTAGTTTGTCGGCGTATCCATCCGACCCCCGGTATGCCCAAGGCGCTAGATACCGGTAGGTCGACTTTATGTGACGGCGTGGGTGGCATGGGTCTACCGGTTCCGAGCTTTTTAAGTTGGATTTCCTTTTGGATACCCCTGTAGTGCATACACTGAAAAAAATAATGACACCTAAAAGGGGTGTTTTTTGAAGCGTACCAAAAACGCGCAGTTTTCTGGAGTCCGATTACACCTGGAATCAGACACTTTCTAGGGTATCATGACACTGGTTGAGGGTGTATTTTTATACCGTGCGGCGTCAAATGATTCCCGGAATCATACGCCTTATGGAATAAAAATACACCTCAAATCAGAGTCATAATACTCTAGAAAGTGTCTGATTCCGGGTGTAATCTGACTCCTGGAAACTGCGCGTTTTTGGTACGCTTCAAAAAACACCCCTTTTAGGTGTCACTTCAGGGAGTAATCGGATTTTGAGGGTGTATTTTGATCCCAAACGGTGTATGATTCCGGGAATCATTTGACGACATGTGGTATAAAATACACTCCCAACCAGTCAGATTACCTCGGGGGGTGTCTGATTCCGGGTGTAATCGGACTCCTGGAAACTGCGCGTTTTTGGTACGCTTCAAAAAACACCCCTCGTAGGTGTCACCTCAACGGTGTCAAATGACTCTTGGGATGGTTTTTCTATACCGATACAGAGCCTGTTCCTGTTAGCGTCATACATCAGCTCAGAAAAACGGGTCGCCTGGGCCCTTATCTTGAGACCAATAGTATGGTACAACTAACCAGCATACCCATGGGTATGTTCTGCTTCTGAAGCTTATAGGAACGACTAGGGTGACCCGCGTGCTCCGCAACGCGAACAGGGGTATTTTCGATCGGTGGGTGTTTGGTTGTTCTTGTGTCGGTTGGGTTATCTATCCATTTCGGCCGATTGCTTTTTGACGGCTAAACGTTTTGGTTTGTGGAAAGAATATCCACCGCATCGAGGTGCCCGTGTCTGATAAGCATGCTTTCCACTTCAGATTCTGTCAAATGTGTTTTATAATTGAGGTGCGTAGTTTTACGACAAATGAAAGGCGTAGATAATTTTCGCTAAAAATCGTTTTGCAGAAGTTTGAAACATTTATATTTTTAAGAATACTGTTGCTTGTCATGCAAACGTGATGATTGTATCTTGGAGAGAATTGAATGCTCTTTCTAATGATAGCATTTTCAATTGTCAAACGTATTAGGTTAAGCAGCATACCCCGTGTAATTATTTAGTGGCACATTTTGGACAAATACCATTTAATTCAGCGATTTTTTCCACATTGTTTTTGATCAATTAGCTTTTCACAATTTTTCCATGAGAGACGGTACATTTTTATTGCTAATAGGCGCTGTTTCAACTCATTTCGTCTGACGATCACCTGAAATTAATATAAATTCCAAAATCCGTCCAAAACGTCCATTTTTCAAAAGAAAGTGTCCTCCCCGGTGCACGTGGCGCGTGCCAACCCCTGCACCGCACACCATTCGATAGCCCGTTCGATTCTCTACACGATGCTGTTTTCCCCGTACCGGTCGGGCCCACGGTTACCGAGATATCGCACCGGGACCGGACCCGTGTCGGGCAAATTTGGCTGTTTTCGCCCGTTTTTGCCAGCCGATTAATACATGTAAAGTCTATGACGCGAATTTGCACTTTTTGGGCACGCGCCACGCGCTCGCTATCGATCCGATCGAGCTGAGACCCATCAAAGGCACGTTGTCCATCCTTGTTCTATGAGTTGCGCAAACTTCAGCGCGGTAGGTGCAACGGTGTGACCTGTAACCCGCGCTACGTAGCACCATGTCGCGACCTTCGTAATAGACAGAAACTACGTCACCTCAAATAGTAATATAGACTAGGGTTACCCGCGTGCTCCGCAACGCGAAGGGGGGATTTTTTTGACCCGTGGGTATTGGGTTGGTCTGTGTCGATTTGGTTGGTAGATATCCATTTCGTTCGATTGCTTTTTGACGGCCAAGCATTTTGTAAGAAAACAAAAAGATACCTACATCGCATCGAGGTGCCCGTGTCGTATTATCATGCGTTCTACTTTAGAATGATTCGAAAACTGGCGTGAAGTCTTTTGAGGGCCATCGATGAATTTCGCTAAAAATGACAATGTAATGGTTTGGAACATTCACATTTTTAGGGATAATGTTGCTAATCATGCAAAAATGAAGAGTGAATATTGGACAGAATTGAATGCTCTATCCAATGGTACCATATTCAATTGCCAAAGGTATCAGGTTATGCAGCAGACCCCGTGTGATTAATAAAGTGGCACAAAATTGACAAACGCCATTTTCTCCCGTGATTTGCACCACCTTGATTTGGATCAATCAGCTTTTCACAATTTTTTATATGAGAGGCGGTACCTTTCTCTTGCAAATAGGCGTTGATTCAAATCGCTCCATTTAACGGTCACCTAAAAATAAAATTAATTCCAAAATCCCTCAAAAACCGCAATTTTCAAATAAAAGTGCCCTCTCCGGTGCACGTGGCGCGTGCTATCCTCTGCATTGCACACCATTCAATAGCCCGTTCAATTCTGTACACGATGCTGTTTTCCCCGTGCCGGTCGGACCCCTGGTCACCAAGATATTGCACGGGAACTGGACCCGTGTCGGCCAAAATTAGCCGTTTTCGCCCGATTTCGCACGCCGATTTATACATGTAAAGTCTATGACGCGAATTTGCACTTTTTGAGCACGCGCCACGCGCTCCCTATCAATCCTATCGAGCTGAGACCCCTCAAAGGCACGTCGCGCATCCTTGATCTATAAGTTGTGCAAATTTCACCGGGCTAGGTGCAACGGTCTGGCCTGTAGTCCACGCAAAGCACCACCAAGTCGGGACCTCGGTAACGGACAGACGCACCCTCCTCAAATAGTAATATAGATTAGCCAGACTGCAACGAGACATTAAATGTAGCTTACATGTGTCTTCACCCTTGCAGCTACAATTTTATCTATTGACGATGACGTCTTCTTTTCAATCAGTCTTTATACCAGATATTGTCAAATGATTCTCGGAATCATACACCTTGTGGGATTAAAATACACTGTCCAACAGAGTCATAATTGCAGTTGTTAACCACGTGACGCAAATTAACAATACATGCATGCCATTCTTTATTTCATATGCAACAATAAATTCCAAAACATTTGGGCACGAAATGTATGGCAAAATCTAATGAAAACTTATCGTAAGGCTCATGGGTCCGTGACTTCATTCACCGTAAGGAATTACTCACATTTCAACAATGTTCCATCAACCGGTGATTATTGCTACTTAGGTAGAGTTATTCTGCAGCTTAATGACATAAAAACTTACCTCCGTCTCCATGGTGCGTTGCTATCTTGTCCTACTTCAAAATTTCGCCGAGTGCAGCGCCTCGTTATTTAAATACGCATGTTGAGCAAACTACAAATAAAATCTGAAGTTTATCGTTAAAGCACTATCACTTGAAGTAAATCTACAATTTAAACAACGTTTGGCGACATTACAAGCGCGTTAATTCAAATAAGTTCCTCTCCCCGCTCACACCTCACGCACCCACGTGGGCACACTTCCGGCAACTGAAGTCAACGGCTTTCCTAACGGTTTTCCTGCAAGGTCGAGCTATTTCATCTTCGTGGCGGACCGGCATGGCTAGAACACAAATGACGTCACACGACAATGCAGCTTGCTGATTGGCCGGGCATTGACTCAAACCACTGGACCTGACGTCCGCGCATTTCTTCGTCTCCGCCTTTCTTCGTCTTGCATTTCTTCGTCTCGCATTTCTTCGTCTTGCATTTCTTCGTCTCGCATTTCTTCGTCTCGCATTTCTTCGTCTCGCATTTCTTCGTCTCGCATTTCTTCGTCTCCGCATTTGTTCGTCTCCGCATTTCTTCGTCCGCGCATTTCTTTGTCTCGCATTTCTTCGTCTCGCACTTCTTTGTCTCGCATTTCTTCGTCTCGCATTTCTTCGTCTCGCATTTCTTCGTCTCGCATTTTTTCACCTCGCATGTCTTCGTCTTGCATGTCTTCGTCTTGCATGTCTTCGTCTCGCATTTCTTCGTCTCGCATTTCTTCGTCTCCGTATTTTTCGTCTCGCATTTCTTCGTCCGCACATTTCTTCGTCCCCGCATTTCTTCGTCTCGCATTTTTCCGCAACTCTTCGTCCGCAAATTGACAGTGCAGCCTACTGATTGGGCTATTGCCTATTTCATCTTCGTAGCGGACCAGCCATGGCTAGCTCACACATGACGTCACTCCGGGCATTGATTCAAATCACTGAACCTACACCAGGGGCAGGGTTACGGAATCAGAGTCGGAGTCCGTTGGAGTCGACAGTTCTGGCCGTAGTCGGAGTCGGTTGGACCACCAGTGACGTCAAAACAATTTCTGTAATATTAGTGTTTTTTGATACTATCATGTGGAGTTTTTGAACCCTATGGGTGTCATTTCACTCAGTTGAGCGTTTTCGTAATCCGTAACTCGCTTATTAGGTGTAATTTGACCCTCAGTGGTGCCATAATATTCCGGTGTCATTTGAACCCAATGGGGCTCAAATGACACCGGAATATTATGACACTACCGAGGGTCAAATTACACTCAATAAGTCATTTGAACGGAATATTATGACACCACTGAGGATCAAATTACACCTAATAAGGGAGTCACGGATTGCGAAAACGCTCAACTGTGTAAAATGACACCAATAGGATATAAAAACTCCTCATGATAGCGTCAAAAACGCTTAGATGTGTTATTTTACACTGACACCGTGCAGGATCTTTTGACACGACACCTAAAATGGGAGTCAAAATTTTGGGAGTCAAATGACCCTTGGGTATGTGATTCTGACCGAGATCAATTTACACTAAAAAACGGTGTATGGACACTGTTTTTCAGAATCGGATTACACCATGGGTGTCAGTTGATTCCCAAATAGGGGATCGTGATTCCCGGGGGGAGTAATTATTTTTCTCCGTGTACTGTTATCGATGGCACGGTTCCTCAGGGTAGGCACTGCTTCCCGCTGCTGATCCAAAGACGAGAATGGCTCTATTTTGTGGCACTCGAACCCTCTAGCGGCGATAGAGTCAAAGGGTGCCGACGAATTGAACAAAAGGCTACTGCCGACAAAGTACACTATGATTGGTCAGAACACGAACACCTAGCGCAATTATAGAGGCGGGCATGATTGAAATTGTAAATATCCTCTTGTCTATGAGATTGGTTGGCGCTGGATGGTGTGGAAGAGATGGTACCATTGATGAAAAAGCATTTAACAGACGTTTTTTTACCGCTCCAGTTGGACCACTCCGATTAAGTACCCTTATGTATGTCTGTCTATACGTGCGCACAGTGTCGGTGGCGCTTGTGATGGGTGCTGAGGGCCGAGTGGCCGCGTCGGTGCTGTGAGCTAGTGCGCGACCGCTGCCAAAATGCCGCACGGCGACGAACAAGGCTCGACGGATGAGGTGAAGGTGTTTAAACATGAGGAGGATGATGAGGATAATTTGGGAGCGGAGGACCTCAACGTGGAGGATGGGCTGACAGAGGACAAGAGCAGCCTCATCACCGAATCGGAGACGGTGAGTCATGACTTCTAATACTCACGCAAGGCGAAGTACGCTTTCCCTGGTGACTCCGAAGTTTATTGAGACAGGTGGTGCTATGTGGAGATTCGCCTTTATTTTATGGATGGAATGCTCGTGAGAGGCCGCGAGATATCAGAGGCAATCCTCCTATGTCTAATCTCGCATTGCGAATGAGACTTCTGGAACATATTTATAGAAATTCCTAGGAAAATCCACTTAAAATATATTCACAAAAAACATAGGAACATACATTCAGCCTAGTTATGCCCACAATACATCCAACACACAAGAAGACATAAACCTTCCAATAAAACACGTATCCAAAGGTTGGGACTTTTCGATTAAGAACAATCACTATTCTTTAGAATTGTGATTTTCTATTGAAAATCCCATTCTAAGCTACCTCTCTAGGGGGAGTTTTGCGCTTCGGCCGCGATTAATATTTACAGTGAATTGCTGAAAACGGATCGGAAGAATCAATCAATTCAATTTCACAAAAGCATCACAAACGAAGGAAATGAACATGTGTCCCAAAGCGGAAAGTGGGCAGCTGTTGTTACAGCTAAATTAGATAACATTTCATGACACCGGAACAATTGATAAGAATGCAACCCAATAAAGGTTTGCATCTGCTGCCTGCAGCCCCACGTGCTTATAGTGTATTTGTGGGTCTAATCTTCATTGTGGTGGTGTTCAGGCTGTAGTAGCCCCTCCAGTCGTACCAAAAGACGGTTGTGAGGCCTGTTACTCCGGGTTTGTACTGTCCGTTGAGGTTGGCCCAGACACAGTTAGAATACCACCAGGCGCCTTGGTAGAGATATGAACAGTTAGATGACGTGGGTTCATTATCTCGGTCAAATGTGGAGAACTTCATTCCTTTGTTGTAGGTTAGACCAAATCTGTCCCCGGCGGTCCCGATGTAGTCGCCAAAGTCAATTCTGTAGTCGCCATCCTCGGACTCAATGGTGAACTTCTGATAAATGGCGTACGCTGTCTGGTTTTCGAAATCCCAGAGGTCTACCCGCAGCTCGTAAACTCGGTCCAGTTGGGAGGTCAGCTGCCAGAGGTGATGAAGTCCCCACCAGAACTCTCCATCAAAACTTCCCAGACCCCACTTGTAGGCCTCCCAGTCCTTGAAGAAGTCCTGCCTGGGTAAAATATCGGCCCTTTTTTGGAAGACGGTCCATCCCTTACCATCGTCCATGTCACAGTAGGCCGAGGTCGGGGTGAGACGATCAGGATGGATTGTATACACTCCACTTGGAGAGCCGTAGGGCAGGTCACTGCAGTCGCGTACAGTGGAATCTTGCTGTGACGTACCGTTGGTGCCAGAGGTCAGCCCATAGGTCAGCTCAGAGACTGACCCAGCGGTGCACATCAGGATCCAGAGAACACAGACTGCCACTTGGAGACGCGGCGCCATCTCCATTGTGATGCAGGAGGACGTCCTTGGTGGTCTCAGAGCAGCAGTCGCCTCTACTGAAGGTGTGCTGTGTCCGGCCCGTTTTATACCGCCTCACAGGTGGCTGGCTCACATACACTCCCCGTCATACCGTGCATAACAGCAGCTGTTGCAGCATTATCTGTCGGCAATGAAGTGCGCAGAAGAGCAGAACTGGGAAATGGAACAGATGTGACACTCTGTCAATGCCGACGGCGCCGAAATTCGAGGAAAATTTCGAGCAGTATTGCACTCAATATTGCAATTGAAATGTGTTCTTCTGGCCTCCTAGAGCTTTTTTGTCGTTGTGTATCAGACCTAATATTTGTTTCGTTTTACCCCTTCGTGAATAAATGTTACTTTCGTCTTTTTCCTGAGAAGTATGACCTTTCCCTTTATTAAATCATTTTTAGAGGATACAAGAGACAGCAGAGGGCGATGGCAGACGATGGGACACAGCGGCGTGGTTGCCATTGTTGGATATATTGCAAGGCAATTTATTGCACAACTGAAGCTTCGCCGGACGCCTTACTGCTAACTAACAAACCGGCTAAAAGCCCCTAACTAACAGACTAACAGACTTACTGTTTGACAGCAACTTACATTGTAGTGACAAAAAGAGTGACAAAGACACTCGCAAAGAGAATGATAAAAAATACTGCTGAGTAACACACCGGCCTAGCACGCTGAGTAACACACTACAAGCTCAATATTTTCCTAAAAACGAGCTCATATGATTGACCCTAATAATAACATAAAAAGCTCGTAATCACAAGGTTCCATACCAAAACTCATGCATCTTATCAACCCTATCATACAGAGCATACGCTGCCAAAGCTGGCATGCTTAGGCTGCATGCAGGAGCTGCCACACGGGATCACCCAGGTCACCTACGACGACGGGCACAGTCGCTGGTACAGGGGCGTCCTCTCGGGGGACCCGGCCCGTCCCCCGGGTCTGCCGCAGCCGCTCCCGGTACAGCTCCTCGGCGTCCTCCAGCTCCTCTCGGGTGACGGCGCTCCACACGCTGCTCCGGTGACCCTCGCCGGCCGTCCACGTCACCTGGTGCAGCACGCGGCGGCACCACGCGTGACGGCGCACAAACTTGCGCAGCAGGTGGTCCATGGCTGGCGTGGGGTGACTGACGCCCAGCTGACCGGCGCGGCACAGCTCCAGCAGCAGCGAGGACGCCTGGCCGAGCCGCCGCGCGTACCGGCGCACAAACACACAGTCCAGCACGTCCATGTCGAACGTCTCCGGTCCGGAGTCGGGCCTCAGTAGCTGTCCGCGCCGCTTCAGCGTAGCGAAGCCGACCGCCTCGCCGCCCTCGGCGAACAGCAAGAACGCCGAGTCGCCGACGGGAGGCGGGGCGAAGAGGGGCTCTCGCATGGCGGATGACCGCTCGCGCTCACCGTAGACATACCTGATGAGCACGTAGAGGATGGCGCGATCGGCCACCGACTGGACCGGGTGCCAGCCGGCGGCCGGCCACTGGACCAGGCTGAGCAGCAGCTCCAGCGGCGTCCAGAGCGGGCCGACGCGGAGCGCCACGCACCAGCCGCACGAGGGGCAGCGCAGGCCGTCCAGGCCGGCCCCCAGACCGGCGCCGGCGCCGGGCGGCAGGAGGACCTCGGCCGGCAGACACAGTTCCGGCCGGGACTCGCGGTAGGGCCGCGGACAGTGGCGGCTCGGCTCCCGGCAGACCGTGCCGCACCCCTCCTTCGGACACAGGACTGAAACGGAACGGGAGAACGGTTAGGGGCGGTAGACGCTGCGCACCAACACAAACATCTGTGTATTAACATCCAGAAAGAAGTCGAATATTCATCACAGATCTGCTTCCACTTTCGAGACAGCAGGTCAGTTGTTACTGGCCATCAACACAGAAAACCACTCCAGAACACACAACCCCCAACCCGTCTCCAGAAAAGATAAAAATTCATCACATTTCTCTCCTAACCACTGTCGTCTGTACTCACTGGCAAAGAGTCCACTGGTGGTGAACTCCCGGTGCGTCTCCTCCTTCGCCAGGCTCTCCAGCAGGTCCAGTGGGGTGCGGATGGGCCGGGGTCGGAGCAGCGGCACGTGCGGACCGTCCTTGGACACTGCGCTGAAGACGGCAGCCAGAGACCGGCGGGGGCGCAGACGACAGATACGGGTCCTCGGGGGCGGCAATGGAGTGCCCTCCCTGAGAACGGTGCAGGGGTCAGGGGGTCAGAGGGCAGATTGACCTGCAGGCTCTATCCTACAAATGCTGATATCCAACTTCTTGCCACTGTGGCGCATCTCTACTGCTATGCAAATAGGGATTATTTCGGCACTTATGCGTTACAAAACATTGACGTTGCGACGTCATTAAAACCGAATTTTGAAAAATCGAGCCTTTGGCGCTATTTGCGTAGGAGCTGGGCCAGGCTATGAACATTTGAGAAATACCTATATACTAGTAGTTATATCGGTAAAACAGCGGCCCAAAGCATGGGGAGAGGTTCTTAGCATTTCGGGTTCATGACAAAGGAAAGTGATGGAAAACCACGGTCGGCAGTCTGACGTCACCAACGCCATTTTGATAACGTCATTACGCCCAGTTGTCTCCTGGAGGAGCGGAATGGAAAACAACAGCTTCTTGTTTGCACAAAGGAATTCTGAATCGTCCGATGGATTTTGTAGAGCTGATTGGATGCCATGCGTGTGCCAGAAAAAAAAAACATTGAGATCACGTCAGGCTCGGGAGACCCCAGAGGCCATCATCGATGTTCAATTGGTCAGTTACTGAGTGAAACGAAGGCGCACCCGATGAGGTACCAACACAGAAAAACAAGTGTACTTACCACCGGTAGCCGGCCGTCGTTCTGGGTTTCTTGCTGGGAGGTGGCGTGCCAGGCTGGTTCTCGGAAGAGGAACGTTTTTCGCGACACTCTGCCACAGCCGTGCTGGCCACAGGAGACCTGTGAGACGCAAAAGGTGGGGTCTCTTAGTAAGACAAGCGGACAGACGGCAGTGATTCAAATTCTTAGCTATGTTATTGCACTATGTATATAGTAACATTTTACAAACGCACCTTTATAAGTCGTTTTCACGACGAGCTATCCGGCGAGTGCGCCTAATTTGACTAAACCTGCACCTAATCTCTTTTACAGAAAATATCTTTATTCCATGAATTTATTTCCGTGTTTTAACCGATGATACTCTGATAATATGACAAAGCAGGCATATAAGCAATCAGTAATCTGCAGCCAGATAGTCAGGATGGAGGGTGGGGGACTGTAACTGCCGCACGGAGGATTGGCGCTTGAACGCCTCCTGACCGTGTCCGAGCGGGCATGTGTGTATGGGTTTGTGTGTGCGTGTGTGTGGATATGTACCGGAAATATTCTGTATCACCTTTTTATTTGTATCTTCTCAATGTTTTGTATCTGTGAAAAGCAATCAGTGCAACGCTAGCTGATCGCTACTAAGAGACACACTGAACCTTATTTGACCAAATCTGCACCTAATCTGCACCAGATGTGCACCAAATGTGTACCAGATAGCCGTCGTGAAAGCGATTTTTTTCGTTTTACATGTATATTAAGATCCAATTGAATGGCCTAGATGTCCAGAATCTTTTATCTACTTGTTCATTTAAAACGATATCTCCCAAAAATCCCTAAAAAGTCCCTACCTTCTTACACCAAGCTACTATTTTAGGAGAGAGCTGAGTATTGCTAATTCCTGGCATCCTGGCAGCATGCTAATTTAATTCTTACTCATTAATTAACTCATCAACCACTCATAAGCATGATCATGTAATAATCATGAAAACATCCCTATATCCCGATTCAGTGGGTATGACCCGTATAACCCGACTCCAGAGCTGGTACCCTTACATGCCCTTACTTTCAAAGCTGGGACCGTATAATTACCGATTTCCGACCTGCAGCCCCTTACGAGTACACCAAAATAAGGAGCTAGGTAAAATCGGCAAACTATTTTGTGGTTAAGTAACCTACAGTGGTAAATTCTTATTCTCTTGCACCAGCCCATAACGCAAGCCTACAAATGTTCTGTTTAATTTCTAGGTGAGATATCACGGTATAGTTCTCGAATAAGTCTACGGCTCCAAAATGTCTAAGCGAATCGCAAGTTAGTAAACAACGCAAAAGACGAGGTACAATGTAGGTATTTAATTGGTATTTTATCATCAGTTGCGTTTAGAAACATACGAATTCAATGAAAATGTAGGTAAGTATGACTGGAAATGGACGTTTTACGACCTATTACAAAAAATTGATAGGCTTTAAATACTAACAGGGCGTGTCTACTTACATTGCGATGCTGCAGAAGGAGGTAACCTCGCTGACTCGCTGACACCACTAATCGGACGCACGGGCTGCGAACTGTACGCACCTCACGAGCAAATGAGCCGAGGACCGGTGACCCACAAAGTTATCACCTATCCATCGGACGGTACAGACCCGGTGGGATTAAATCCGGTGCCCTGGCGCGGTGGCAAGACGCCAATGATAATCCCCGAGTCGCGCGTGTGCGATGCGCATGGCGGTAACTGAAGGGAAAGGGACGCAGGCTTTGGTTATGTTTGGGGTGAAATATGATTGTTGATATCAGGTAGATAAAATGTCATTCAGAGAGTAGGGTCAATTATTTTAAATCAATGAAATTGTTAGGCATTTATTGGCAATTGCTTTAGGGTTTGGAAATAATCAAGCATATTGTTTTCTTATAAGGCTTTGCTAATAAGCTATCCTTTTAAGCATGATCGTTTTGTCTTGAGAATATTCCGCAAAAAGGACGGAGTTTAATCAATAGCAACTAGCAAGGATATATGTTTTGATTAAAAAATAAGTTTTTATACAAATCAGTCTTTGCCAGTGCGGCGTGTGAAGGAAGTCTTCAATTCTCCAGGGATTTCATCGTTCGCCTATGGAATTCAAGTCGGTCTTTCTACTTCAATTGTTGTTAACTTAGAATTAAGTCTAGGAAATTACAAATACATGACTTCTATGAAGAAACCAAGGCAATTTCATTGCATCGTGAAGAAAAGAAAAGAAAATATCACTCGCTATTTGTGCCGCCAATAGCGCCACGGGTAGCATGGAGTGTCATAATTAAGGCCATAGATATAACGCTTCTTACACTTGGTCACAAATAAACATTTTCAAAACTATTGCGTAAACTTATCTAGTAAGTCCATAAAACTTTGGAAATTTTATAATATGCATTCGTTGGTCAACTAGATATGTATTGTTCTCGTATAAATTTATAAATTTGACTCAAGTTTTATAAATGTTTGTTTGACGACAGTTTATTCCTATAGTTCGTTTTTTTTCAAAAGGACGCTGGCTCCAAGTATGTTCTTCGAACAAGCACGTGTTTTAGCAAGCAAAACGAGCAAAACTGAACCTGAGAAAATCGAACGTCGACTAATTTTAACATGTGATTTCTTCCCGATAATTTCCATATGTGCGTTTTGGAACCAGATATGAGAACAGTGGTGACGTCATGCTGTCGAACATGTATTGCAATGTAACGTATAACTATCATGGACGGAACCGCTTACTCGATTATAGGCTCGGCAACAGTGAAAAACTAAGTTTCACCCAAATTCGTTGAGACTTGTCCCATTGCACGGACAGTTGGGTGCCTGCTGCCACCAGTGACGTCATCATAGTATGTTCATCTTTAAGAAACAATTTCCAGCTACTTACCGTGCACAATTTGAAATCGATTATTTTTTCGGTAAGAAATTCTTGGCCAGACACCGAAGCTGCCAAAACTCACGTGAGAGTTCAGTTCAGTTCAGTTCATTGTATTTTTCCATATGTAAACAAGAACAACGAACAAAACAATAGAGGATTGGCGCAAAAGCAAAAAGCTTAAATCAAAGGCGCCTCTCCAATTAAGTTAAACAAAGAACACATGACCAAACCAAAGTATCAGAAAGCGTCGACCCCGCCCGAAACCCGCCGAGCCAAAAAAGCAAACAGTACCCGGCCCCAGGCGACGGACGACTCCAATCGGGCCAGCTTGCGTCATAGTGTCATGTTTTGTGTTTTGTAATGTAGTGTAGTGTTATGTAAGCAGTGTGTTGCATTAATGGGGCATTCCACGATAGATCGACCAAGGCCTAACACCCGACCATTTTTGATTTTGATGAAATCTTGTCTATAGGGTTCTCTTATGCCCTGAAGTCAATGGTGACAACGCCAGGCCCCTACGGTCAGCGGTTTAGGAGATATAGCCCCGGTCATTTTGACGAGGTCACTCTGCAGAGTGATTTTTGAGGTGCTATATCTCCTAAAGTAATGAAGGAAATGCATTAAAGGTAGTGTGCCAGCTTTCTTGGACCATATGGAGTTAATGACCCGAATAAGGAGAACCGGATTTTTAGAACTTATCCATACCTTCAAAACTTATGGAAACGTCTTAAATTCTTCAAATTTTGAGTACCCCAGTGCGAAATTCGCCCCGACGGGTTGTCGGTCGTACCCCAACCACATTTCACACCACTATGAACAATAAATGCACACACTAAAATCGCTATTACCGATAGGCTCATCCAATCAAGTTTCGATAAACCCGTTCATCATCATCTCCTGCGGTTTCGAACACGCCTGTTAGGTGGCTTCTGATGCTCGTCGAGGTCGGAATTTCCAAATACGCGTGGTGCGTCGGGCCGCGCGCTCTGACTTCGGCCAAGAAAAATGCGTCAGCTGATCATTGTCATTTCTGCCACTTGCGTGTGGTGTAATGGGGTCATAACTTAAGAGACGGCTGTTTCATATCAATTATTTTACATAAAATCATATTTCAAACCACAAATTAATGTTCGACAGCCAAATTTAAGAAACAATACCAATACAGGCTTACAGTTTAAGGCTCGACATTGTGTTGTCCAAGTGTTGTCTACGATTAGACAGCTGATAACTCATTCCCGTACGTCGTATGGTCGTAACACTATAATGACCTTTGCTTATTGTCACAAGTGCGCCGCATTCGCGATTGTTGCCCGACGCTTGTTTGCAGGTGAGCCCACTACAGTTGTTATACATATCTAAAAACCGATAAACTTTTAGGCGAAAAAGGCACTATTCCAGGCCCATTTTTGATTTTTTTGCGATATTAGGTAAAAACAGAAGCTTCTTATCCTAGGAAAAATAAAACGGGAAATCTTTCAAAGGTGGCACACTACCTTTAAACCTGTACATCGTTGTGATGGCGGTGAAATGAGCAATTTATTGGCTATCTCGGATTTCCAAAAAAGTTATTTTGATTTTTAGCTGTGACGTCATCAATTTTTAAATTTTCTGGCTACCCCCCTAGTACATTAAAATTTGTCATTATTTTTGCTCAGAAATATAGATCGGTCAATGTTCTTTTGACTGTCAAAAAATAAAAATGGTAATCTTTCTATAAATATTTTATTTTATTTTTTGAAAACAACTCTGTAATATGAAATTTGCATACATTTGCTCTGAAACGACAAATAGGTGCAGCTGGCACGGACAGTGGAAGGACTGGATTTATAAAACACCTAAATAATATTTTCTTGAATATTTTTCGCAACTGGAACAAAGCGTAAGATATTTTAACCCTCGCATGTGTGCGGCGTTTGCCAGCTTCTAATGTGTAGGGGGGGGGGTCGGTTGGACCCCCCCCTTGCCGTTTGGCCCCTGATCGAGCTAGAGCTTCGCGGAAAAAACGAGCGTGTTGCCCGTGACGAGAGGAAGCCGATGATACCCAATTTTAAGGTCCTAGGTCATTGGTTGACCTTCCAGGTCAGGTCAATGACCCAAAGTCGGGAAAATCGGGACCTGTTAGAAAGTCGTAAAGTGTGGCTGCTAAGGGGGTTTTCGGGGTGCTGATCACGAATATCGTGTTAGTTTTGATCACAGATGATGTCTTGAAGCATTTAGACCAGGTCGGGTCAGGTCAGGTCAGGTCAACCAGTAGGCGTCGTGACGGGTATTCGTAGTACGTGTCAACCGCCTCTGACAGCTTCGTAACATGTTACGAAGTCACCAAAACTACTTCGTAAATGTTCAAATGGTTGCTAAATTCGAATTCAGCTCCAAAAACTAGCCTAGAAACATGTAAAACTCGAAAAAGTGACCCGAGGTCATCCGAGGTCAGCAAAGGTCAATGACCTGACCTGACCTTCAGGTGACCTTGACACACACGGGAGTAACATCAAATCACATGTTTGAACGTTTGAAACCACGAAAAGCTTGCAAACACGCGGCTAGTGCAAGCCGACATACGCGAAATCGCGATTCCGGCCAAACATGGTCTCGGAAAAGAGGTCACAGGTCAAAGGTCATTTGG